CAACCAAAAGAACCTTAAGTAATACAGGTTTTTCAAGCCTTGCCTGAAGATTGAATATGTCTCAAATGTAACCATTTTTTAAATGTATAAATAATGATGATTAATAATTTATAATTAATTCTCAATTATTAGGTTGATAGCAGGGTTTTTTTTGTCATTATGCTTTTTTCTCAATAAATACTAAAAGTCCATCACCCTGCCAAAAAAGAATGCTTTCAACCCTTTTCAGTTTATTCAATTATCCTAGATCCCTATTCTTATTTTGATCATAATAGTATTTCTTTTGACAGCTTGATTTGCAAAGGGTGAGGCTTATGGACCATTGGAAAGTTTCAAAGGCTGTGAGTCATACTGCTGAAGGCAGAACTTTTGAGCCAGGTTATTTATCTGAAGGCACAAGATGCTGTTATTTACAGCAGAGTGAACGGAGCATCAATCAGAAAAAGTCCCTTTTACAGAAATACAGAATCAAGAGAAAGACAGGATGAGCACCGCTGGAAAAGTAAGCAGAACATTTTTGTATCTTCATTATCATGATCTTATAATGTGGGGTTGATTTTTAGAACTTTGAATCCATTAAAGTAATTAAATACTTGGGGATATTTCTTGAGGAATGAAATGCCTGCTGAGCAGGCATACACTGGGGAAAACACTAGGTAGAGTGTTTCAGAGAGTGCTAATAGAGACAGGATTAAGTTGAAGACAGCTTATGAAAGGTTTTTGGCAAGGCATTGGAAGAAAATGGAGAAGTGTGGTTTATGCTGGCATTATTAATAATTTTATTTCAGGATAGCTGGGCATTTGCTCTGCTAAGCAAAATGTTCCCATGAAGAGACTTACACATTCTCAATAAGCTTACATTGCATTCCCTCAGTAATTCAACGGAACAACAGGGTCTAGTGCCCAGATGTTGGAAAAAAATGTTTCCTGCTATTGACAACAGAAAATGCTAAGATTCTGGAATGCAAAGTGACAACAAAGTATTATGCTTTTAAGTTTTCTTAAGGATATAGTTTTTATCAAAATATAACTAAAAATTCTTTAAAAACAAGACTACATTGTTGATAAAGTATGTTTATTCTATTCTTTCAAACACAACAGAGTCAGCAGAGTTGTTATTAACTACAGAAATAGCTTTGGCTTCTTTTTTTTTTTTTTTTTTTTTTTAAGTTATGGAGTTTTTTTTTTTTTTTTATATGTGTTCCTTTTT